GATGAATACCCACATTAACAGGAGGAAAAGAGGGGTGGATATACACGTGGGAACGAGCAAAAGAAGGAGCCAGTTCATTAAGTGCTTTAAACGAAATACTTATACCGAACTTAGTAAGGGAAAAGGAAAGGGAAGAAAAAGTTTCTTTGGGACAAATAAATAGGTTTCTTGAGGAGGGACAATGGGCTTTTATGAGAACAATTGAGAGATAAGAAAGTTAATGTTAGTATTTGTCTTTACAGGAATGAATGGTCTTTCTGTTTCATTCAGGGCTGTAAAAGTCCTCCAGAGGAGGAATTTGGAGTAGTTTTACTCTTGTTCTCCCTTTTGGGAGTAGATCTGCCCAAAAGAAGGAATTTATAGCAACCTTATATCCCCAAGTTGCTGCTTTTTTGTCACATAAGGGAAGATTCAATGTTTCTTTCTGCATCTGTTGATTATCAAATGCTTTGAGCTTGTGGTAACGTTCATACCGACTCGGGGGGTCTGAGTAGGTCCCTACGTATCTACTGGGAAGTCTTGATGAAAGATAAAAAGGAATTCTTTCTACCACTTTCTGCAAATTTTGACATTTTTTTCAAAATAAAAACACTTTAAAATTATATGTATACCCAGACCTCTTAAACATTTACTTTTAAACGACATTGTTGGCATACTTGCTTTACTAAAGTGTCAACTGTGAAGGATGGATTAGATGTAAAAGGAAAGATTTAATTTCCATAAATAAGTAAGCAGTAAATGTCTATCCTTGAACCCTGTGAGGTACATTAGTAACTCAATCCACGTGGAACAAGGTATTATCCTGGATCCGTAGAGCTCTCTAGTGAGAAATTCAGCTCTTCCTGTCAGACAACAGATCTCAGGCTGAGTGTAGGATATCCACTTAACCGAAGCCTTTGTTGACAGATTTCTGGATTATAACCCATTGCAAAGATGACCTCATGTCCACAGTTTGATTTTCTTCCCCAAAGAAAGACATCTACTCTCTCAAACACAAATCCAAGTACAATTAACACCGAACTATAAATTAGATCTAAGAATTTGAAGAAGAAAATTTTGACATTTGTATCTTAGAAACTAGCATAATATTCAGATCTTCAAGTTAGTATAACAAGCCCTTGACTTTTCTTTTGCAAAATGAAATTTCTAATATTCTTCACTAATAATAATAATGCAAGCAGATCACAAGTATTAAATATTTTCTCCAGGTTAGGCCCTCTCCTAATGATGTCCTCTGCATTGTTTCATTAATTGCTTCTATTTCCTTATGAGATAAAGACCATTATTACTGTGCGCATTTAACGAAAAAAAAAAAAAAACAGATGTTCTAATAAGTGGCTGCATCAGAGCTTGAACCCAGGCTTTCTAATGACAAAGCTCAGGTCATTCCAGCCTAAATAAAGAGCTAAACTGTGACTTTACTCAGGAATAGCTAGAAGAAATGCATTTTGAAAAATGCATGTGGTAGCAAGCTACAAGCGAGTTCATTGAGAGTTTGGAGAGGCTGGATCTCCTTTGCCATAGTCTGTATTTTTGCAGTAATCTATATAAAGATGACCCTGTTTTTTTCCCCTTGATTCTCCTTGTTTCAGTAATTGAAAATATGCATTCACGTGTTTTTGGTTTTGCCAGTCAATAGATTTTACAGTTGACTTTGCAAAGTTCTTTGGGCAGGAGAGACAGAAGTGGCATATCAGGTGGCCAAAGAATAGGAAAAATTAGGTTACAAATTAGCAACATTTGAAAATGGACACTGGAAATTTTAGAAGCACTGTTTTAAAACACTGCAATTATTCCTCAAAACTGAGGGTATATATAAATAGCTTAAAACAAAATAAGCATCCAACTGCATTAGGTATATAAAAAAAATTAATTTGGGGTAAAATAAATAGATATCTCAATTTCCATAAAATTCAATTTCTTCTTCAAAATTTAGGTCTAATTGATAATTCAGTGTTATTTGGATTTATGTTTGAGAAATTAAATGTCATGGTATTTTTTAATCTGCTATATTCAAAACATATATAGTAGGCTTTTTTTATTGCAGAAAATAGTTCAGAAAGAAAAATATCTATGATCTTAATGATTCTCCAGAGTTTCTGCCTTCCTAACATCTTTAGCATCATAAAAATTAATTTAGCAATCACCACTGCATATCACATGGTTTCAGAGATGTCTGTGAGCCCTATAAAAACCATTCAGTGGGCTGCTTCTTGGTGCCTAGCACAGAGCAGGGTACAGAACAGGTCTTCATAATTGTTTAATGGATGACTGAATAGAGCTATCACCTCCTGGCAGAAAATAATCTCTTATAACCTTATGATGTAAAGGTAAAGAACATTAGCTGAGATGTACTTTCATGAAGAATGTAGGGAAGGAAGAATAAAGGAGAGCAATCTATGGAAAGATTGTCTGCCTTTGGTACCACTGAAGATTTTAAGTCTGAAAACCTTCGTGCATGTACCTTAAATAGCATTCTACATCAATTAGCTCATTTATGTAACACACATTTATTTTATGTCTAATTTGTTCAAGGCATTGTTTGAGACAGTGAACAAATACAGCCATGGACAGATTCTTTACTGTAACAGTTACACTACAGTAGATCAGATCACTACTTGGGAAGGCAAATATTGGTAGCTCAATTCTTGTGGATAGGGAAAAAACAAAGGTTTTCTCCCATGGTGTGTTTGATGTGTCTGACCTGTCCAGTGTTTTAAGTGGCACAGGCTTTGCATATAAGTATCCTACTTTGAGGGCAGCTTTATAGATCGACCCATTTCTTGAACATTGTATCACTAGCAGCTGAATCTAATTTAAGCAAGCTTTTACCAGCTTTTTCTGGTGATTAAAAAAAAGCTATACATACATACACACATGTTTTATACTCACAATAACATACATGTAGACACACATGTACATATATACACAAAAAAATTGATTTCTTGCTGTGCCATTTCTGTAGGCTTACCACTATAAAGAATATGACCTAATTTTGCAATGTTTTAAAGTATTTTTACACATTTTATTTCGACTACAAATTTGATTAATATCAAGGTATTTTTCTATGAACTCCTTTCATACCCTTAAAGTATTTCTGTAGTTTTATTTGAAAATTGACCAAGTAAAAATTTATTGGAAATATGGCAAGAGCATATTTAGAAAATTTTAAACAAATAATATTCAACTTTCATAGAACAAGGCACATAAGTTTGTACTAAAAAATAAATTTCAGTCCCTTGAAAGATATTATACTGCTATTAGAAACAGAATTATTAGAAACCAATTAATGTTAGAGCCACTTAATCCTAAATCCTTTCATGGATTTTACAAATTAGACCAATTAAACATTTTTAGAGCATTTAAATTTTATGTTGAATCCAACAGCTGAATCTAAATAATTTAGTAGGATTCATTAAAGTTTTAATTTTATCCACCAGAATTAAATATATTGGACTCTATGCTCTTTGGGTTTCATCAAGCACTGAGTACAATGGGAAGAAAATGAGATCTAGGGAAGTCTGACTTCCTCAGTCTCATCGACTGCTGGGCGACATTAGATTGAGGTGTCAATCTAATGGCAGAGTTAAGCACTCTGACCAGTGGTTTTTTCCATGTGCAAATGAAAATATCTCCTCATCTCAGATATCTTTAAAGGTTGAGTAGAAGTAGAGGAAACTGCTTTGAAAATTGTGAGACCTTTGCATGTTTTTCATGACCACTATGACTGCCTTCCTGGCAATGGAGAGAGAATTTAAATCAAGGCGTCTCCACCCCAAGTTGAGGGGATCATATCCCGAAAGCGGCAAACATCCATAATCAGGCCAGGGGACACTGCTCCTCACCTCACTAGATTGTGTAAAGGTTTCCAGCTGACTGTGCACCCATGTGGGTGCTCTTTGAACCAAATAGAAAATTAGATTCACTGGTCTGAGAACCACAAATCTGTAGCTCATAATCTATATACATTTAGTGTATCTGCAGGACATTGATAGTATCATCTCCTGATTTCATGTAGCTCTCGCGACTCTCACCAGCTATGTCATTTAGGATTACTTTATCAACTCAAATAATTTTGAGTTGAGCTGTGATTTAGACTAAATTCTCTTTATTGATCCCCTTTCGACCACAATACTGAGCTGTTTAAAATAGAGGTGATCTTGATCCGTCCCTCACCTTAAGTTTTACTCAAAAGAATCTTCTCTGTTGAAATACTGTTCTTCTATTAAACAACTATTTTATCTTTCCTTTTCATCCAATTATCTTCCCTGCCATGCTTCACAAATTAATTTCAACTCAACTCCTCTTGAAAGGTACTGCTGACAATTTCACTGTATTTATAAACTTCAGTTTGTCCCCGTAACACACCTGCCTTATTAAGCCCACAGGAAAACACTATTTATTGGGATACACTCAACTGTGCCTCTGCTTTTCCATTTTCTTTCCCTTAATCTTTTGTCTGTACCTCCAAACTTACCTAACTTATCTGTCCTTGAAAAGATATTTCATCCTCTTTGAAAGGGTAACTGTGTGATGATAAGGATTATTGTGTGTGTGTATGTGTATGTGTGATGGTACTAGAGGTTTGTTTTTAAAAATGAGATCTTACCATTTAAGTACTGAAACATTTATAGGTAAGATATAATCCTTGGAATTTGTTTTTGAAAAACATGAAAAGGGGGTGTGGGTTGTGGGTGTGGTTGGCCACTGTGTTGGGCCTGGTTGATAGGAACATGGAGAGATCAGTATACTCTTCTATTACCTAGTCTAATATTTTCAATAATAAAAAGGCAAAAGGTTATTTTTTTACTACTTGTTACAGTCTGCACTACTCTCATAAAATCTAATATTGACATGACTTTTATAATATGTATGCTATGTTCTGTAGAAACATTTTCAATTAAATAAGTTGAATATTTTTTAAAAAACCTAGTATCAAAATACAAAATTATCAAAACTATCAAAATTCATATGTATACATACGAATAATAGTTACCATTTTTACTACATACCAGGCCACTAGACATTGTTAAAGGGAGTTACATAAATTATCTCATTTATTCTTTACAATAAGCTTATCAGTAGTTATTATTAAAGGCTCAGAAAATTTGAGACTTGCCCAGTATCATCAGGATGGAAATAAACACTTTGAATGCTCATTTATCATTTCCAAATATGAATTATTCCCACAGTAACTCAAACACAATGTTCACATCCATATTGATGTACTTCATTTTCAAATTAACTTAAGCTATCAAGTAGATCTGGCCAAAGACAAGGTTGAAATCAGTTTACATTTCCTAGTTAAGTCAATACTTGGTGGACTTTAAAATTTTATTTTATTTGCATTCACATAAAATCAAGTATAATGCTAGCTGACTGTGCAGTCACTGTTTACAGCCATGATTGAAAGGGGGAGGTAGCAAAGTTTAAAGGCAGCAGGTTTAGCTTTAAGGCAGCAGATTCAGTCCCCTTACAATGATCAACAACCATACACAAACATGGAGAATTTGGCCCTAAACATGATAGTGATCCATCTCCTATGTTAGGGCAATGAATCCTGAGTAGTTCACAAACAGAATTATAAATTTAGCAATCACCTTGTATCTTATATCAGCTTTAAAATGTTTCATACAACTGTGAATTTTAAAATGCAGTATAGTTCCTTAAACTTGTGAATATTGTTTACTTAATGGAACTAGTGCATTCCTAAAAACAGGCATTTTGACAAATTACTACTACTGGATTCAACTAAAAAAGTGAAGATATCTTCTCCTGGGAAATATTTAAGTCCCAGGAAATAAAGCTTAAGAATGCCTATTTAAGGGGCAAAAAAATTTTCAGCTTGTGCAACCTGCTGGCTTTGATAAAGGGTGAGTTTCTTTGGCATGAGAAGAAAACAGAGGGACATACAAATCTTTGTATGAACAGATGAGGGTACACACTTCTGGAACACAAATATCACTAAGTAAGAAGATGCTTACTAAAAAACAAAATAAAACAAAAAAAAAAACCACCTTCAGTCAAGGGGACCACAAGTCTACAAAACGTTTTTAAGAAATTTCAAGTCAATTCACTGTGTAACAAATCCAGTTAACAGATGCTTTTATACAATTTCTTTAACAGCCAGGTCCTTCCCCTAGCATGTGCTAAATTATTTTATTTACAAAAAAAATGTACATACAGATTTTCAGGAAATTGAGGTATTAGAAATTGAGATATTCATACAGCAAGGAGGTAGTCATGAAAATCCATTGTAACTGAGCTTATTTCTAAGCATAACAAAAACCTTACATTATAACCCCTGCATTTACATTTTTTTAGAGATAGATTTTGGCACTTTGGTGGTCTTTTTGATACCGAGGTCGTTTTCACATGAAGATTAGACACTGATTGTTATCCCATGTGTGCTTAGAGTTTTCCTCAGCAATGTTCACAGTGTGTATCAAGACAGGCTCACCCTTTGGCCAAGTATTTCCCAACCCCACTCCTGCTCTTTTGATGAATTACTTCCTAGAATGGAGGGACGTAGACACCGTGGCCATAGAACACAGCAAATTAATCTGGTTCTCTCAGAAGCAGAGACACTTATCTTTGCATCAACACGAATTATCTTCAGAATTTCAGCCAAAAAAAAAAAAAAAAAGTACTAGTAGGATATACTTCGTGTTCATTTGGCCACTGGTAAAATGAGAAATTAGGTTTAACTATGTAAAATGTTTTAAGGATAAAAAGATATGACAAGCTTATCAGAAATCAAATTTTGGCACTTTAATCTGTACAGTTCTGCAGCGCCCAAATCCTACAAATTAAAACTGAAAGGGCTGCTTTCCTCAGAAGGTACACACCACAACAGGGACAGGGAGAGGGGTGTCGACACCATATTAATAGATTGTCAACATAAGCAGTGATGCTACACCCTTGCTCAAAGACCATTCATATCCTAACAAATTCACTAGTATGGTCTTTAAAATTATATTCAAAAAATGCTTTTCTTAATTACTGCTTAAATATTGCTAAAGCTATGTTATCCAATACAGTGGCCACTAACCACAAGTGGCTATTTAAGTATCCAACACATTATATATTCATTTCCTTAACTGCACTACCTCTTTTCAAGTGCTTAGCAGCTGCATGACTTGTAACTACTATAATGAAGACCACAAAAGAACATTTCCATCATCATAAAAAGTGCTGTTGGATAGCACTGATCCAAAGAAAGTGCAGCATGCTATGTGCTCACGAGTTTCAAACTTTTTAAAGGTTGTTTAAAAATATCACTACATCTCTGGGCTACAGATTCAATATTGATCTTTGTTCACAGATATGAAAGAATGGTAACAATTTTCTGGTCTTTATACAATTTCTGAAGTATTTAATTTCCATATAAGGTCCCAAGCCAAACATGAAATTGGATTATTTTCACAACATGCCTATCATAAAGTGAAGATTTGGCATGCATTGTGCAAGTCACTTAGAAGTCATCTGATTAAAACAGATTCTTCCTTTACTAATATCCAAAATATTGAATTATGAAAACATAGAACTACCACTTAAAGTTTCTCACAAGAATGGGGCAAACAGCCCATTAGATATTGCTCTATTTTACTTTGGAGTCTTAGCAAGGGGAGACGAGATGACTTAAGTACAAACTAAAAACAGTAAATTAAAAACTGTCTTAGGAATAAATTTTTGTCTATGAAAACAAAGACAAAAATGAAAACAAAGACAAAAAAGTTTTGGTTTAATGCATGCAAAAATGTTCTTCTCATTTGTATTGATACCTATGAGTGGATTTTGATTTTTAGGAAAATCAAGTTTATGTTATTTTCAAATTTACTTTGTCAGAACACAAAGTAGAAAGATAACAATTGCACGATCAGTTCTTTCAAATAACTCTTGGATGGGAGTCAGGAAGTGGGGAACAGAATAGATTTTTCTTAGTAGGAAAAACAACCCAATCATAAAATGCACACAGCTGTATCTAAAAGAAAAATGCAAACACAACTTAACCATACTTTATTTGACTGCATCTTATTTAGACAGCTTGCACATTTCAAATCCCATTAAATCTCTCTCTCCAAAAGGATATGGGACAATAGAAGTAAAGTTTGCAGCAATATCCAGTCATCAAACAGCAGTCCAATATTTTGAGATACACGTGATATTTTATAGATACTCAACTCATATCTGACGTCAATATAACTTATGGTTATGTTTTTACAAACCTGAAAGCCCTGTAACAATATAGCACTCTTTTTAGTGATGTCATGGTGCACTGATAAGTGACTGATGTACTATCAATTTGCTTTTATCTATGCTCCTGGAAAGTGATGAACTTCATGATTTTTAGATACCATAATAAATATACACATCCAGTCTTATACATGTCAGTCAATACCATAACACAGGGCAAGGTTAAGTTAAAACGTGACAAACAAACTCCTTTACAGATTTGTCGAGCAAATGGGGAGGGTAATTTGGGAAAGAGAGGAAGAAAATATCAAAAACAAATTTTTAATAATTTTCTTTTTTATTTGCTGGCTTCAACTTCAAAAACTACTGTCTGGTTTCTGATCTGTGGACTTCTCTAGAGTAGTTTCATCCTATTGTCAGGGAAATTATAATTAGCCCACACATCAAAAATGGTAGTATACCCGTTAGCTTCTTCAATACTAACATATATAGCTTCATGGTAGCATGTATAAAAATGTTCAGCAGTACCAACTGCCAAACCAGTGTCAGTGGATAGTACAGTCAGTCTTAAAGAGGCAGCACCCCATTAAAAGAAAGTTGCACCAATTTTGCTCAGTTTTAGCCAAGTGAACTCACTCTATCAATTTTAAATGAAACTGTTTTAAGATTACCTAAGCAAAATGAAAGTCCAATATCAAAGTGAATTAATGTTTGATGCTATTTCAACTGGAAAGGAGACTTCATTTTGGAGCAGGTTATCAGGCTAGAGGTCAAACATTTAGTCTAAGTAAATGCTTAGCCATTTAAAGACAAAAGGTAGACATTGATATTCAACATACACCATTTGAACAATATGGCAGCCATTTGACTTTCCAGTCACATAGTTAATGCCGCGTTTACAAACACCTAGTCACCTAATCAATTCAGCAAAATCTGGTCAGCTCTGGGGGAAGGTCAATAATGATGGTTTCATCAAAAACCTGCCAAAAACATAATAGTTGAACAGAAAATCTAGCATGTATATACTTTAGGACTGTATGTTCATCAACATACAGTTAAGTAAATGTTCATCCACAATCATTACCTATGAATCAGCAAGATGAATAAAGTGGTGAGATAAAATTGGATGACATAAGTACTGAACTATTTATCTAATTCAGTTCTCTCCATCACTATGATTGATATTCCTCTAAATACTAGTGCCCAAGTGAAGTTTGACCAAAAACACTCAAAACATTCAGCTGGGAAGCTTAGTATTGTGTGGTCATCATATTATTAATGCAACCAGTATTCAGTCCACTAAACTTTTAAATGCAATATAGAATGCAAAGAAAAATTTTCTTTAAATTTAAGAATTATAAATGATCCCACCAGCAGGAAAATTTTATTTTCATCAAATCTGTATATCTTTATTTTAAAAGTACTTGTTACCACGTTCACTTTCAAGACACCACACTGAGCAAGGAGCAGCTTTCCTTTTTAAAAAAAAAAAAAAAAAAAACGGCAACAAACTTTCCTGAAAGGGGGCTTTTTACCAACTGTTAATGGAGGTAGGGTTTTTTAAAATACAGTAATGATAGTCATAAAACAAAATTCAAACCAAATCCTAGAGCAGAAGTAAAGCAAATCCAAATCGAAGGAAAAAACAACATAGATCCCTAACAAAACATTTTTCACAGAGAATGAATATTTTTTTTTTTTTATGGGTACCTAGGTTTTTCAGTTAAATTAATTATCCACCACAGGTTTCTTGACTTTAACTGAAAGCAGTAAGTTTAAACTTTGTTACATTGCACTGACTGGCCAAAACACAATGTAACCAATGAACATGGTGATGGCTATTAAGAAAACCCACAGAACTCATTTAAAAAAATTCCATTTCTCTCTTTTCTTGGGAACTGAGCAAAGCTCCTTCAAGAAGTTGCTCAAATAAAGGAAAAGAAAATAAAATCAATTTTAAATGGTTGCAATGCACCTTGAAATTTATTTCCAAGACCAAGAACCAAAAGTGAAGCATTTTAAGAAATGGAAGCAATGTGAATCCAATCAAGTGGGGAAAAAGTTCCAACTACTTTGTGAAAGTCATTCTTCACAGCTAAGCAATAATTTTGATTAAATAAAATCATACCAATTTACATTAATTTTCTATTCTTTTCCAAAAAGTCCCTCACTCTTAAAAAAAGTGCATCCAAAACCCAGCAATTCCCGGCTCCATTAACTTTTCTCATCCCTTTTAAGCCATATGTCAAAGATTTTCCCAGTAGATTCAACCTCTTACTTACTGTAAGGAAAAAAGGGACTTCTAAAGTAAAACACTCTGTCACTCACCTGGAAAAAGTATCCAAATTATAAAAATCTGAAATAATTTATTATCAAATTTAGAATTTAAATAAAAACAAGTTTGCTTGCAGAGGCTTTAAAAGAAAAGATAGCATGCATTCAAAAACTAGAGATGAAGACAAATATACTTATCTACACAGGCACTGGCAGACGCGATTTAATTGTTATCTTTACTCATTGTAAGACACATCCAACCCTACATTACATTTTTTTTCATTCACTAATCACTGAGGTACCAATATTCAAGAATGGAAAATTTAATATTGAAAAAATAAAACCTAAAATTGAAGCTTTGCCCCACCCCCTTCAGAAAACTATGGCAGGTTTCTTGTGAAATGTTAGTATACTTAAAAGACTTTTACAATCTACATTGGCTTTTTTTAAGGAACAAAAATCATGTTCCACTTATTGGTTCTGTGATAAAATGACCGCTGTGTAAATAACATTTGTCAGCAGACTTAGCAAATGAACAAACAAATCTTGGCTATCAACTGGCACATCGTGTTGGTACCAAAAGAACTTTTTAAGTTTAAAACAATCTTTTTTAATTCAGAACAAATGCGCCATGCCAAAGTGCAACAAATATTGTGCGACACTCAATGAGACACTGACAGATAAGAGCTGCATGGAAATTACTAAATCCACCTGCAAAGCAATTCTGTACAAATTGCATTGCATGCAAAGGTCGATTCTTCATGGTTAGAAAGTTGTTCCTTGATGTCAGTTTCTCAACGCAGCCACAATTTAAGTCGCAGTGCATCAACTCCATTTAAATAGTATCTGAACAGCCTCTTATCACGAACAAAACCAAGATTTTCATAAAGTTTCAAAGCAGACTTATTTGTTATTTCTGTTTCCAAAACCACCTTCAAAAAAAAAATAAGAGAAAACTAAGTTATAATTTTATATATATTTTAAACTAATCATTTCATAATTTGACAAATCACTTAAAAAGTAAACAATTAGATCAAATATTTAAGAAAACATACATTATTTTAAAATTGATATGAAAAAAACAAATTAGTGATAAACAGAAAAAATGGTCATCAGTTATAATAATCATCTCTTGGGGGAAGACGAATGTAAACACTGGGAACTTATTTTCTATCCCACTGATTTTTTTGAAGTTTGCCATTTTTAGCAGTGAGGCACTGTGTATGTATTTGGTTTTATACTAAACAAAACTGAATTATATCCCTATGGAGAAAAGTAGCATGACAAAAAAGATGAAGGGAAGGAAAACATCAACAAAGATTTAAGAAAATAAACCAGTACTTGAAACCATTCATATTGACCTCCAACATCTATCATTTCATTCATTTATCATCATTTATCCTGGTGACAACTACTTTATTTGACTAGAGTCTGCAAACTACAGCTCTTGGGCCAAATGGGCCTGCTGCCTGTTTTTGGACATAATGTTTTATTAGAACACAGTCATGTCCATTTGTTCACAAGATATCTATGGCTGCTTTCTCAACACAGGGTGGAGTAGCTGCTATCAGAGGCCTACAGTCCACAAAGTCTAAAATATGTATTACTACCTGGCCCTACACAGGGAAAGTATGCCAACCTAGACCAAAGGTCTCCAAACGTTAATGTACCTCATGAACACGGGGAGGGCATATTAAAATAAGATTGCTGAGCCCCACCCAAGAATTTGAAGAGGCTTGCAGTGGGGCCAAATTCACATTTTTTTAACAGTTTGCCAGGTGATGTTGGTGGGCAGGTGTCTACATTTGGAGAACCACTGTCTAGATATTAGGGATAGCAACACTTAACAGACACATACAGTATTAACTTCCATTGTGAGTTTTTAATATCACTGAAGTAATGGCTCTGACAATAAAGAGCTGATACTTTTGAATATTATATGATTTTCTTCATTTATTTCTATTCTCCTCTACCAAAACATCATCTACCCCATCCTCTCAACATTTAAATATATATTGTTCTGTTTGCTTTTTCTATTGATTCTCAATCTACTTCATTGAGAATTACCAATACAGTATGCCACAGTTGCTGCTAGGATATCATAACTTTCAGGGTTTAAAGTAAGGGAGAAAAAGGCAAAATACAACTGATCAAAGGCCTAAGTGAAGCAAATGTCTCTTCCTGGTATATCTCAAGTTATCAAAAAACTTGGCAAGAATTCAATATGTAAATAATAGAGAAAAGATTACATCTCAGATCATTATATCAAAAAATTCAACTCATGATCAACTCCTTTACAAACCCATATCAGTAACAAGATCTTCATACCACCAATGCCTTAAACTTAAAACCTAGGAGTCATCTTTGAACTTCTTTCCTTGCTACCCCCTTGCATATATCCAAGCACTGATTATGTGAATTCTCTAAATTGCTCTCAAAATGGTCCTCTTCCTTCTATCTCCACTGATAGCAGTTCTGCCCCACTGCTATAACCTTTCATTGCAATCAGAATCTCCTAACTCAAAAGACCTCTTTTTTTCTCTATAGAGTGATACTCTTGTTAATTTCCTGCTTTAAACCATTTATTGATTCCATTTTATGCCCAAGACATAATCTAAAGAGACCTAAAAGGCCCATCAAGACCTTTCCCTACATCGCCAGCAATTAGGCCTCACCCTCCTTGCTGTACAAAATCAACAATAAATTTTTTAGAGCCCGCCACAGTCTTTCCCACCTTAGATGGTTCACATCAGCTATATTCCCTGTCTGGAAGAATCCTCTTCTTATCCTTGCTTTTCGTCTTAGCTTGTCATTTCCAGACTTGGTGGAATATCCCTTTCCTTTTGTACTACCCCACAGCACTCTGCACTGCTCCTTACCCAAATGCACTCTCACTCAACATTCAATGAGTATGCCATCTCTCCTACCTGGTGCCCAACAAGGGCAAAGACCCTCCTCACAGCTGTCTCCTCTGCACTTCTAACACTGCCTGACATGTAAAAGGCTCTATATTTATTAGTTTTATACATACTTAGCATCTTTCATTACCACACATACATCACAAATATTAAACAAAAGTAGTCAAGTTTTTAAATGACCAGAATACTTAAAGAGAAAGATTCATTTTCAGGCAATTACTTATGCAATTAATTCTTTAAAGCAAATCACTAGCTAAATGCAAACTTGTAGAAAATCTAAAAGCAAGTAAAAATAGTTCAGGGTCAGGGAAAACGTTCCTAGGAAGGCTTTAAAAAAAAGTTTATAGCAAACAAAGGTTAGAATAAAAAGTCAGTAATTTCTACTTGCTCTTAAAAAAAGAATTTTCAGTATGTACGCCATCTGGAACACTCCAGTCTGGTCAATAGAAGTTTCTGGTTTTGAGTAATTCTCTTGGGTAATTCCTAGAATTTTCTTCTAGGCCAGCAACTAATTACAACTAAAATGTTAAATCAAAACAATATGAGAAGCAATAAAGCTGCAACAACTCAGAACTGAGAACTGATTTCACAGAAATAAAAAGGAGAGCTAAAAAATAGCTAAATATTGATTGAAGGCTTACTGTGTACTACATAAAGCATTTAACGTGCACTATGTCATTTTCCATGCATTTGTCGCTATGCTATTTCCATAGAAATCCTATGAAACAAATATGATTATTTCCAATTTACAAATGAAAGAAACTCAAGGCCAACTTGAACAAGGATAGACCAGAATCCAAATCTAGACAAGGGCTTAATAGCATCCAACCTTTTGCAACTCCTAATTGTTTCCAGAGTAAAATAAAGCATCACGTGGGAGATTTAACCAACCTAAAACACAATGAAGGAAACCTAAATCCACCTTCATCAATATTTGATAATCTAAAATATTTAAAACAGACCTGCGGCTAACTACAAATTCACACATACTTGAGGTGTCACAAAGAGTTGAATTCAAGCTTTTTGGCATTCCAACAGATAAAAGAAATGAAGCCCAATTACACAGAAAAAATGTTTACAGAGAGCTAACTAACCTTAGTTAAAGTGAAAAGATTCCCTTGGCATACTCACATTTTCTAAACAAAGAGATGATGTATTATTTGACAAAATAGAAAAATGCTAGCAAAAAGTAATTATTTTTCAATATTTAAAAACTTAAAGCCTGGGCCTCCCCTAGTGGCGCAGCGGTTGAGCGCTGGTCTGCGAGGCTGCCCGCAGCCTCTGCAGCACCGTTTCGATCCCTGGCCACCAGTGAGGGTCCCACATGGCGCGACAGACCTCTTCTGCCGTGCCTGCTCAGCAGTGTATTTCCTTGGTCTGCCTGTTCTGTTCCCTGCTCTGGCTCTGGTCAATTCTCTCACCCTCCTGCACACTTCTGACTGTTCCCAGTGCTTGTATAAATAAATAAATAAATCTTTAAAAAAAAAAAAAACAAAAAAACTTAAAGCCTTATAACTACATTAAAAGAGAATCTGAGGGCTTCCCCGGTGGCGCAGCGGTTGAGCGCTGGGTTGCGAAGCTGCCCGCGGCCTCTGCGGCGCCGGTTCAATCCCCGGCCACTGGAGGAGGGTCCCACATGGCGCGCAGACCTCTCCTGCCGCCTGCTGCTCCCCTCAGCATGCTCCCCTCAGCACTGTACTTCGGTCCTTCTGCCTGTTCTGCTCCCCGCTCTGGCTCTGGTGAATTCTCTCACCCTCCCGCGCTTCTGACTGTACCCAGTGCATGTATAAACAAAACAAACAAACAAACAAATAAATAAATAAAACATGCCTCTATTAAAAAAAAAAAAAAGAGAGAATCTGAGATTATACCAGAAACACACTATTTAAAACTACTCTGTCAGTCCACATTGTAGTAATTTTTTTTTAAGATTTATTTATTTATTTATACAAGCACTGGGTACAGTCAGAAGCACAGGAGGGTGAGAGAATTCACCAGAGCCATAGAGGAGAGCAGAGCAGGCAGAAGGACCGAAGTACACTGCTGAGGGGAGCAGCGGGCGGCAGGAGAGGTCCTCCAGTGACCAGGGAGCAGCCGGGGATTGAACCGGCGCTACAGAAGCTGTGGGCAGCTTCGCAACCCAGAGCTCAACCACTGCGCCACCGGGGAGGCCCCACATTGTAGTATTATTAGACAGGAAGCCAAAGAGTAACGAGGTTATTTTGGTCCTAAAGAAACTTGCAAAGTTGAACTCTACTTAGCAGAAAGAAAGAATCACAGTGAAGTTTCACTGATTCTCTTGAAATTAGCCATTATTAGGATGAGCGAAAACATTACAGTTCATAAAGCATTTTTTCAATATTATAGACAGAAAATTGCTGGAAGGTGCTAGCACCTAAGCGCTAGCACATAAGCACTAACTCCTTGTCTGGCACCTGATATGCCTTCCAATGATGCTGTTGAATGAACACCTTACTGGCTATTCATAATACTCTTTAAGATCAGAATTACCACAGACTGCATAGAAAAATACAGCATAAAAAGTTTAAATTACTTGCCTATAAACATAAAAATATACTAAGTAACAGAAGATGGGTCTAGAACCCAGGTTCTTATCACATTTCTTTAATTTGGCAAAACTAACTCAACCTAAAATTCTTACAGCTTAGTAACTCCATTTCACTCTATTCTTTATATAGCAGTCTCTGTCTCATAGCCAAAATATATTTCTAATGAAACTAAAAATGATAAACATAATTAAACACAAAAAGAGCTAAAAATTGATCTTGAACATTAACATAAAATGTATGTTACTTCGTTAACACCTAACAGGTTTATTACTGGTTATACAAATAAATTAGGCCACTGTTGGTGGGAATGTATACTAGCACAGCCATCATGGAAATCAGTATGGCAGTTCCTCAAAAAATTAAAAACAGAACTACCACATGATCTGGTCATCCCACTTCTAGATAAGTATTATATATGTACCCAAAGTAATTAAAATTGGGATC